TTTTTTTTTTTTTTTTTTTTTTTTTTTTTTTTTTTTTTCACCTTCACGGTCCTTCACGTTTGAGAATGGATATTTTAGGATACACTAAAAAAGAGTTAAATCGAGAGAGTCTTGTGGCGGACAAATAGCGAAAAATGGACTATCCGATGCTGCTGATTTCCAGAATAGTTAGTCTCCGTCGAGAGTTGCTTGCTCTTTACACCCAGTGAAACGTATCTTAGTTGATGTTCTAACCTATCTATTTAGCTGCTTCGTTTTGCTATAACCTACATACTCTTTCACACCTGTCTTCCAATCACCCACCATATCAACAAACTACGTACTATACCTTGTGTGCAATTATTCCCCGTCCACCCATCTAGACACAGTATCTCCCCGCTTACAGGATCGCAGTTGTAATGACCAAAGGAATCATTTCTGGGAATGCAAACCTTCTTTTTCTTTACACAGTCTGTAAAAGGATCGTACCAACCATCGTGACACACCTTTCTCCCGGCCGTGAAGTTACAATGATAGTGACCAAGACTGTCATTGCGTGACGCACAATAAGTGTGACAGTCTGGCATAAGATAGTTGGCGCCGCAATGCAGCGTGACTGTCACAGTCATGCACGACCTTGCGCCACATAGCCTCTTAGTTTCCTGCATGGCAGATTTAGGATCCGGATCAGCGCCACGAGCTATTGTGAGAGTGTACTTGTCGACGTAATCATGGAGAGCACCTACAATCTGACCGCCGTCATCATCCCAGACTTCAACTACAACAGTGCATCCCTAGAGAAGAAGAAAACGCATCAGATAAGTCAAAAAGGGTTCTCTGCATTTGGAGAAGAACAGTAGGGTCAGTTTCCAGCACTTTTCTAACAGTTATACTTTGATGGATCAACACGACCTATCTTAATCAAGGGATATTATATCATGAATATTGGTATGATATCACACATAGCTGTTACCACAGCAACATTACTACTTGTTAAATAACATCTTTGAATTTCGTTTATAGCGCTTTTAACTCGAGAAAGAACTTGGTGACTACTACTATTTATTGTTGAATTATGATCAGCTCAATGAGATGCATTTTTGAAAAGTTTATAAAGAGGAAGGGATCCAAAGCCATCTTTTAGAAATTTTCAAACATTTGAAATGGCTCTGAAACTCCGCCTAAATTTACGTATATTTTTTTTACTGAACTTTGAGAAACGTTGCATCTTATCATACTTGTCCCACCTCCACAACAGGAAAATTTGGGTCACCCTCGTTCTTGAGTTATCAGCACTAAAATTAAGGGAGTTTCAACAGGCTGTACAGTTGATATGGAAACCTGATATATAAAAAAATGAACGCATTTGTTCACCAATAAATGGGACATTGTGTGAAATTATTATTGTAGGATCATATGAGTGGCAGTATTGATCCGTCAATCCATCAAAGAGTAATTGCTGGAATTCGAATGAGCTGGAAACTGTAGTCAGTTTCAAAATTTTCACGAGCACAAAAGGTTTTGATAATCAG